TTGTGGCACATTTCCATTTTGCGTTTTAATCGGGAAGATTTACTGGTATTTCATACGTACGCAGAAGGCTCTCCCTTGTGTAATATGGAGAGCAATAATTTTCGTATGTTTCATGCATGTGCCTTAATGCAGCCAAAGCATGCGCACATGGAAGTTCTTCAAGTTGGAATTGGCCACAGCTGCATATCTTATTTTCTAGACACACAATGTACCGCTTCACACCATCCAACACAGTATGTATATAATCTGTCGAAGCCCTCACCTACATTTTCAGAACAAACACAAAGAAAAAATAGTTACAATGATAAAAATATAATATCTGCAATATTTTTACATAAACTACAATTCGACTACATTTTGCCTACTATTTATCTACAATCTTGAGACACTGTGTATTAAAATATTTTTCCCCCTGCACCAAGACAGTGTATATTAAAGAGAGCATACCCTAAGTTTCTAAGATAATGTACTATTTTTCTCCAATTCTTTGTTGAATTTGTAACCAAGGTATGTGAAGGTACCCTTAGCCTTCAATAACTTCTCTTTCGTCCAAGTTTCAAGAAGCGTCCTCATATACTCTAATAGGTCAAATATTGGCAGCTCTCTTGCATATTTTGTTACAGCATTCAATGACTCTGCAATGTTTGATGTCATAGTCCAAGTTCTATTTACCGTTGCATGTACTCTTGACCATCTATGATAGTCAATATCATAGAGGTATGATTTAACATGAGGGTCTATCTCTTCAATCTTCGACATCCTTTCATTAAAATCATCCAGAGTGTATGACCCTGCTGTAGCAAAGTACAATTCATGTAATTGTAGATGACCCTTCTTGAATTTTGACCTTATATTTGTCCAAATATGCCACATACAAGAGTAGTGTGGCATGCCCGGATAGATAATTGATGTTGCCTTCATTATACTCTCAGTTCTATCTGAAACAACAGACATTGAAGGTCTTTCACCATATGCCTGCTTGAATTGCTCAAAGAACCACTTCCAAGATGCATCATTTTCAGAATCAACCACAGCATATGCCAAGGGCAATATTGTACCTACATTCAAAATTCATAAAATTTTAAATGGCAGATTTGCAGATGTATATAAAAATATGAATACACAACAACTACAATTTACCTTCAAATATAGATAAATTATCTACATTTTATTTGTACTGCCTACAAAATAACTACAAACTTACTACAATGTATCCACATTTTATAAACTGCCTATAAAATAATTATTAAAATTTAACACTTTTTACCTGCTGCATCCATGGTGCTTGCAGTCAGCATAATCCCCCTGTAGACTGATTTTAAGAATGTCCCATCAACAACTACTGCTGGCCTACAATGTTGCCAACCACTTATTGATGTAGAAAGAGCAACAAATGCGTACAAGAAGCATTCATTTGTTGTCTTCTTCAATTTAACATGAGAACCAGGATAAGTCTCCTCAAGAATATAAAAATATTTGGGTAATTTGCTGTTGGAGTCAGCCGGATTCCCTCTCAAAAATTGTAAAGCCTTTTCCTTTGCTCTCCATGCTTGCATGTAGCTTAGGTTCACTCCGTGTTCTGCTAACATGTCAGTCTGTATGTCCTTTAGTGTGTACACAGTTTTTGGATCACAATACGTTGGAATGACCATGCTACCAACTACAGATGCAGTACGTTTGCGTTGTATGAATGTTTCGTCCATTAAGGAGCATGTGTGTTGTCGGTTGAAACTCCTTATCTTGAACATTGCGGAATCATTAATTGATGTTGCCTTGAAGTGCCATTTATAGTTTTCACCAACACATACAAGCCAGTAGCTGTCAAAAAAAACAACAAATTGTAATTGTAGGTGCAGCAGAAGGATTGTTTTAAGGGAAAATAACATAAACTATAATTTAACTACATTTTAACTACAATTTATCTACAATATTAAAAACCACATTTTTTGAACAATTCACTGCTTAGAATTAGATTTTATCTATACCTTCTATGACTAGATCTTTTAACTTTGAACTGGAACTTGTGCACCACAGAAAAGTGCTTCATTGCAGTAGCTACAGTTTGCTTGTCCTGATACACTTGTCCTTCTTCAATATCGGTTTGCGTATATTCTTTTATTATTTCACTTTGATATTCCTCTATATCTGGAGAGGATGGCATATCAAGTAACTTTAGCGATCCAGATGAACCTGCATCAAAATAGAGATAAACAGTGTCATTATAAATTTGTAGAATCTTTGTAGATAAGTTGTAGATATCTAAAAAAAATTACAGTTATCTATTTTAAGATGTGAGACATTGTAGTTACACTGTAGTTACATTGTTGCACTTTGTAGATTGGTCTCAAATCAATACTGTTTACTTCTTTCTATATGAGAAATTGTAGTCACATTGTAGATATATGGAGTAAATTTGTAGATAATATCATAAAACTAAAATACTAAGCATTTTTCGAACTACACAAACCTGCACTTGTGTTATCATTGGTGATTGCCAATTCCATATTGAAATCTCGTACACTTACACATAGCGGATATGAACCTGAGTTTTTATTCTCCTTTTTGGTCTCCATATACACACGAACCCCCATATCATTCCTAATCTCCATTGCGGGACAATTGTCGTTCACGATGTATTTGATTTCTACAATTTTTTCAGCAGTATCAATTGATAGTTGTTCTGCAATTGTAGACATCAGAGTACTGTAGCTTGCATTCTCATCTACCACAATGGCATCCACTTGAAAATCCCTAAATCTGCCACAGGTATCCCAATTGCCATTAAATTGTAGCATAATTGCGATTTTGGACATGATTTGTTGTCGATGTTGAGGTTTTTTTTTTTTTGATTTCTAGATTGAAAGAACAAAAGATGAAGAAGAGATATATCTGATCGACAATTTGATAGAAGAAACAACGAAGAACAGATTTTTTTAACTTTGAGTTGTTGAAAATCGAAAATTTTGAATTCTACAATTTGAATTCAAATCTTAGAAGCTGTTAGTAGTTGAATATTTTCGTAGTTTTTGTAGCTGTTAGTAGTTGAATATCTGTTCGTTCCTTTTTTTTCAGAATTTGAAGGGATTGTTCTGGAGAAAAAAACGCAGATATGAAATCTCCTTTCCCTTTTTAAAGATTTAATTTAATGTAGAATCAATTATCACCAAGAATCTCTCCTTAATTTTTGTCACGACCCAAAATCCACTAAGGGTCATGGTGGCGCCGGACACCGCTATCAGGCAAGCCAATTAAATTACCGATTTAAAATCCTCTTTTAAAATACATCAAATTCCAGAAATTTCCTTCCATTTTAAATAAATAAGAGGTTTTTGCTTCAATTCAAATCAAACAATGTCAATTAATTCAAATCTTTCAGAAAACCATCCCAGAACCCGGTGTCACAAGTGCATGAGCGACTGCTGATAAGTAAGATAAAATACAACATCTGTCAGAAATACAGTGGACAGGGAATAAATAATAAAAGAGCAGAAAGGAACTACACTAGCTGCGGGTCGCCTCGCAAACTGCAGCTCACCTAGTCCCAAAATTATCCATGCTGCTACGCCCAGTAGGCTGCTAGAAGTGTACATGTACCTGTGCAACAAACATGCACAGAAGTGTAGTACGAGTACGTAATCAACGTGTTCTCAGTGAGTATCCCGCCTAATCCCGAAGGGGTAGAGACGAGATGGCCAACTTCGACACTCACTAGAGATCAATTAACAATATTCTATAAGTGCGAGGAAAAATCATGGGTTTATACAGAAGTTCTAATTGTGAAGCCAGAAAACAGGTAAACACCTTCAACAATAAATCAAGGGCTTCAAAGCCTATTCTTTATTATCTTATCAGTTTATATCAAGCCACATAGGGCCAATTCCACATTCACGATTCTTCAAGTAACAGATAAACATGCGCAAATCACACCGAGGCGACGGCCTGCTCCAACAGGAATGTAAATTGTGCACTGCCGAGGGTCGAGCGGCACGAACCATAGATGTATCTATTTTCACTGAGGCGTTCGGCCCGTTCCATAAATAAATACATATCCTGCTCGCGAATCATCCATGCGACGCAGGCACACATAAAATACATGCTCAAGTAGGAAATTAAGAGCTCATCGAGGATAATCATCCAAATAAACAACTTTCTCTTTTTAAATTCCTTTACCAATTCATGGTGATTTAAACAATTCAAACTATCAATGGGTTCACAGTAATCCAAGTATAACATACTGTTCGAGTCCTAGACTACCCGGACAATAGCATAATAGTAGCTACGCACGGACTCTCGTCACCTCGTGCGTACGTAGCCCCCACAAATAGGAGCACATAACCAGTTTACTCACCTATGGGGTAAATTCCCCCTCACAAGATTAGAAAGGAGATTCACCTCGCTCCGAAGACTCATAACCGGCATTCTACATTCTTCCGAAGGCTTGAACCAACGCACAATGCACCAAAACTAGTCAATTAACGACAAATTAACGAGAGCATGCTCAAATACTTGTTAAAAATTCAGATTATACAAATTCCCAACTTCACTTAGTGAAATGACCAAAATGCCCTCGGGCCCACGTGCCCGGAATCCATAATTTTTTCGAAGATAAAGGTTACCCATGACCTTAGGAACTCAAGTACATAATTTTCTCTTAATTCCATACTCAAAATCGTGGCTAAAATCCAAGATTACAACTTTCTTGGTTTTCAACCAAAACCCCAATATTTACTCTAATTTTCATGCTTAAATCCATATATAATTGATATATTTAACTCAAAAGTGATAGGGATAACTTACCTTAATCATTGACGACAAAATCCTCTCTTGAAGCTCCCCAAAAATCGCCCAAGCCATGAAGAAATGGGAGAAATAGACTCATTCCCACGATTTAAAACAAGCTTCTGCTCCCAGCTATTTCCGCTTCTGCGGAAATAGTTCCGCTTCTGCGGAAATAGTTCCGCTTCTGCGGAAATAGTGCCGCTTCTGCGGATGTCGCTTCTGCGACTTTTTCGCCGCTTCTGCGGCTTTGGGCATAAGGGCGTTGACCGCTTCTGCGGTCTGGGGGCCGCATAAGCGGAACCGCTTCTGCGGTTTCCTGGGCCTGACCCCCTTTCTGCTTCTGCGAGCTTCGGATCGCATCTGCGGTCCAAGAACCGCAGATGCGGTTATGACAGAAGCAACACACTCAAGCCTTCCAAATTCCAATTTCGATCCGTTAACCACCCGGAATCCACTCGGGGCCCCCGGGACCCCAACCAATCATACAAACCAATCCCAAAACACATTACGGACTTGCTCGAGGCCTCAAACCACATCAAACAACGCTAAAACCATGAATTACACCCCGATTCAAGCTTTATGAACTT